ATCAAGTTTCCAGTAAGCTACGTGCTACACACACATTCTGGCCTGTGGCCAAATCTACCTGCCAGACAAGTATGTTGACCTAGTAGGAGGAGAGCAGAGCTGCTTTCGCCTTATGAATGATTGTGTGTGTGTGTGTGTGTGTGTGTGTGTGTGTGTGCTTGTACACGCATGTGTACCTATTTGTTTTGCGAATGCCGTGTTTAGTTAATTGATAGATTAAACAATGGCAGTGAGTTATGATTAAATCAGGTATGTTAGCAGTGAGTGGAAGATTACAGATGAGGTAAATGAGTGCCCACTGCTGTAGTTGTCAGTGCTGTTAGAGGGCTTTAGTTTGAGGGAGTGAATCAGTGTTTCTTGGCTTGCTTTCACTCTTGTAGGTCCATTGTTATGTTTTATTTCTGGTTTATATAGTGTTCACACTGAGTTATTACAAACAAACAAAGAGGTGTAAACATGGATTACATGCATTTACAGCTATGTCACGCATGGATTGGATAGTTTTGTCTTTCAGCCTGCATCTTCTGACAGCAAGTCATGCAGAACTTTATTAAGCTTCTTTTTTTTTTGATCATCTCTGGTGTCACACAGAGCAGACCAACTAACAGGCCTGTCATACTTAATAAGTTACAGTTTGAAACTGAATGAAAAATATGCATTTTATTGTAATAAGTTACTGTGTGGCTTTACTTTTTTGTTTTTTAAGGAGGAATTGCTAAAGTACAGCATGACTGTGTTTGAACTCCTCTTCACTGATGAAAGTTCATACTGACGAGGAGATGTCTCAACTTTGGTTACTATAGATTATCTTGCATAATGTTACTTAAAAAATGACATATCTATCTATACTGTGACATGGAAGCAGACTAAAATCCACTTTTCATGTGTACACAGTCTGGCTGTATAGTTCACAACAGAAATGCAGTGACACAATTCTAAATGAACCAAACAAAAGGGGCAAACAACCCAAACAGGTTGGGTGAGAAAGCACCGCTGAGGACTGCCTTGGAAATCTGGCAATAAGTGCTCGATACTGGAGTGAAACATAGACTCAATTATGACTCAATCAGCACTTCCCTGCTCCACACCAACACATTTCATCTGTTTTTAAATGAGCAGTTCCACTCACACAGCTGGGGGTCAAACACCTTGAAAAGGCACCAACAAACCAAGGTGGTTGATTACCAGACAGGTCATTTATTTCCTTTTTGGAGTAAAAATAATAAAGACACAATAAAGACATTCTCATTCTCTCAACTGATCTCTGAGTTTACAGTGAAATAGTTTAGCAGTTTTAATGTTTTCCATCAAGCACTGTCGCTGCCAGGACCATATGCTGCCCCTGGTCCTCCACATGTTACATAGAGAGGATGAATATCTTGTATGGATGGAAATGCCAAGTGGTCTTGTACTTGTCTAGCTCTTTTCTAGTCTTCACTCAAAGCGCTTTAACACTACTTTTAACATTCACCCATTCACATATTTAACATTCCCATTCACACACGTAGGCACAGCCTACGGTAGCAATGTGGGGTTAAGTGTCTTGCCCAAGGACACATCGACATGGACTAGGGGGATCCAACCGCCGATCGTCTAATTGACACTCAGCCACAGTCGCCCCCAAACAAGGTTCAAAAGAAATTAGCATACACTGGGTTGAAGCAAGCTTCTTCTCCAAAAGCTGTATTATCCGCCATGGCACAGTCAACTTCAGCGATTTGTTTTGCTGCCCTCGCAGTCTCACATTTTCATTGGAGTACTTACTCCATTGCTGGCGTTCACCAGTGATGGTTTGTGTAGCAATGTAGTCCAATGCTGATTAAATGGTAATGGATGGTAAATGGATTTACATTCCCATTCATACACTGATGACAGGGACTACCATGCAAGGTGCCACTATTTCACTATCTGACATTCACACACAGTAGGCACAGCTTACGGTAGCAATATGGGGTTAAGTGTCTTGCCCAAGGACACATCAACATGGACTAGCGGAGCCGGGGATCAAACGCCGATCTTCTGATTGAGGGACGACCCGCTCACCCAGTGTAAGGACCCTGGAACTAGAAGGTGAGAGTATGAGGTTAGCTTATCTTTATGACATTTTTATGACATTTTCCGTAGCCATAGAAATATAATTATTTTTATGTGTGCAAAAACATTATTTTCACTTTTTGCTGCAAGACATGAACATCACAATAGTTCCTGCATTGCTCCAAAACCATCAGATAAAAATGTGACAAGACAGAGTGGTGGCAGCCATTGGCACGAAAGGAAGTTCTTCTACAACAGACAAGCCATCAAGATGTTATCACGCCCTGTCATTTCCAACAGGCCAAACCTGTTGTGCACCAAGCTGAAACCAAAAACCAGTCTGCCAGTGTCGGTTGGAAGAAGCAGACAGAGGTGTGTAAACCACACAAATCAGTTTTCCTGCTAAATGTTGGAAATCTAACAATGGTGGATTGATCGTGTGTGTGTCTACATATCATAGCTATCAAAGACCATTATTAATTGTGCTGTCTCATAATGTAATTATACACAGACAGTGCACCTGCACAATCTATCGACACAGAATGTCTGCTTTTTCTCATGCTTGTTGACTTTCACACTAAAATGACACATTATATGGTTCATTTGAAAGCTTTATGCAAGTGTTGGATTGCATAACGCTGTCCAATTGTGCCAGTTAAAAGGTGCTATTGTGCAACACGGGCATTTTCTGAAACCATATCAGTAAACAGGTGTTACAGGTTTTTTTATGGCACCACATTGGTGAGTTTACGATATGGAGAAGAATGAAGCCCTGTTTTCATGATGGTTATTGTTACATGGCAGGGCTTTCTCTGTATTCTGTACCCCAGTGCATGCTATTATGATGGGCTCACACGCACACACACACACACACCATTTGCCATATATATATATATATATATATATATATTATGCAGAATAATATTCGATCGGTTCAATATTAATGTGCCATCTTAATTCAACGACATAATGAATGAATCTGCATTATAAACAGATAAACGATGTGTGGTTCTTCTGTTGTATTTCTGACAGATTAGCTGCTTCAGGCTGGTTTGCTAACCCAAGTGGTTGATTTGATTTCAAACAGAACTGAGGGGGGCTGTGAGGTATATGAGTGCCGGTGGTTTAATCGTCTGCTCCTGCTGTCCATGTCAGTGTCTTGAGCACAATACACAGAACCCCAAATTACTCTTGCCAGATAGCTCTGCCTTCATCATTGTGAGTATGTTAAAGATGGGCAGTATAATTACCGTTGAGTTATTTGTAATTGGCCTTTCACTAATAAGGAAAAAGTGTGTGTGGCACAGGGGATGGTCGGGCGGATACAAGTGGGTGTGTTGGAGGTAGTGTTGTGGCTAAGGTGAAGCTGGTGGGTGGAGGAAGATGAGTCGGAAATAAGCTGGGGATGGTTGCTGGCGGACCTGTGGAAAAAAGGGGTGCATTTAAGGTGGGATGGGTAACGTTAGTTACATTTGGGTTATGAGGAGAGGGGGTAGAGGGAGGGGGAAAAGCGGAAACAGGAAGAAACGAGGGGTTTTGGCTGTTGACTCTACCATGGATCCCCACTGTTGGAGCGGTCTGAGCAGCTGAGGTAGCCGGTATCATGTTGGAAAGGATGCTGGCATTGGTCATGGGATGGTAGCGGACAATGGGTAAAAGAGACTGCAGGGTGAGATGTCCCTGGGGCAGAGAGAGTTTGGAGGGGGTGCAATATGACCTGGCCCTCTGGAAGGGCTGGTGTGGGTGGCTGGGCTTCTCCGGCCGTGGTGTGCGTTGTGACGTCATCCCCGTAGCGGCTGACACGGCGCTGGGAATCCAGAAGTGCTCTGGAGGCTTGGTGAGCGAGAGTGGTTTTGTGCTGAGAATCCATGAGTAGTTTGTAGAGTTTTGTTTTTCTGCCGGACTGATGGAAGGGGATATTGTCCTGGGTGAGTGCGTTCTTCAGTCGGGAGACTGTCCACTCGGAAATGTGGGATGTTTGTAGGCTATCGGAGCGTCGGAGTGGTGGAGTCGGCCGTTGTTTGGGCGCTATATCTCGAGCAGGTGGAAGAGCGGCATCAGGGAGGGACGTTGTCTCTCGGACGCCGGAGTCAGGATCTCCCCCTGGGGCTATTGGAAGGCGAGGGACCGACGACTTCGGAATTGTCCGACGATAGATGTCGGGAGAATGGTTGATCGCAGCTAATGGGAGAAGGTGGGATCTCCGGGACTTCAGGCGTTAGCTGATCTTCTTCGAACATGTCATTGTCAGAAGGAGTGGGGGGGATCTCCAGGTCCAAGTTGCAAGGTAAGTGGTTGAGGTTTCGATTTTTTGCTTGGAAATCGCATGTCATGTGGGAACTGAGTTAAAGAGGAAGTAAACAGGTTCGTTGTGCTTAAATACTTTGTGCGGAGGACATGAGCTGTGTTCGGGACGTGGTCCTTGTTCCCAGACTAAGTTTATAAAACTCAATTTGACAGGGAGGAAAAATAATTTACATAACAAGATACTTTGTAGTTAGGTCATTTTGAAATTCCAAAATACTTGATTGATACATGATTCATGAAACAAAAATATATATTCATATATACATAATACATCTTGAAATGAAGAGCCAAACACTAAGATACACTCACACACTTTGATTTTGTAAGCCCAGTATTTCCATAAACAAGTTAATTTGCGAAGTTGATAAAACCAGATCTTGGTAGAATAGTTATAGAATAGTGGTTATAATTGGACAAGAACTGGGTACCATAGGACCAAATCTTGATAGAATAAGATAGGATCGGTTAGAATAGGACCAGAAGTGGGTAGACTCCTACCAAATATGGATGGAATAGGACCTGATCAGGGTGGAACAATGGTTTGACCAATGATGTGATAATAATGAATTCTCTTCAATGATGCACTGTATGCGTTTTGTTTTTCCGCTCCCACTACGTCGGTGCTTGGACCCTAATTACACATAAAAATAGATCAGAAAAACAGTATGGAACTGATTTTATGAATGATTAATACAAACTTTTTTTTACAGATCATATAACATTTGTGATATAGTTACTCAGAAACTACTTTTTACTCTTTACATTGTGTGTACAAAATGTAAAATAAGTGAAAACAACATGCACCAGCATTAGTGCACATTGTTGCTGTATTAATGTGAAGTAGTATTCATTATTTAACTGTTGTTCTCTCTCTTCAGTTTTTGTCCATAACATAGAATTTACCAGAAGAATACTTTTACAGATGTGTCTCTACATTCAGCTCCACAACTGTTTTTAAGTTAACATGGAAAACTGATGGTGAAAGTTTCACCCTTTTAGAATAACAACAGCAATATATGAAAGTAAGACTATAACATTTCCAGCATCACAATACAGTCATTAATGCCCTTATACCCAAACAAATGATATAGTGACAGATTAGGATGAAGTCGTCCTGCATCACTAATGAAACTCAAATACAAACACCAGTTAATTCTGTACAATAGTCAAAAGTTAGCTTTTTTAGCCTCTATGTGCTTACAGACATTCACAAGCATCCAAAACGATGTCCATTTGAGTTACTGCATACATACTTTCTGCAGTGACAAACAACAATACAACATTAATATTGGTTCATAAAACCTACTAGAGCCAAAAACACTGGCTTACATTTTCTGCAACACCTTCCTTCTAAGAGGAAGTTAGTGTCTTAAACATCATGGGAAGAAAGGTTTTTCTTTTTTTTTTCTCAGACAAGCCACACAAATGATTCTAGTTCCTTAACTACAGCTCTGATTGGCTTTTTGGTTTGCACCTATTTGTTGACGGATGCCTCATATGCCCATGCCAATCTCTTCAATCTTCCAGCCGCTGGAGTTCTTTCCAAATTTGTAAACGAGCCTACGGCCATCGACTCGCTCCAAGATCTCCCTCTTATAGTAATACCTGAGGGAGGAGGGGATTCAGTTAGTGCAGGTTTAAGACACAAAGTATGCAGTTCCCTTCATCATCTGATGAACTTCACTAATGCAAAGCACTCGTTAGTAAATTAAAATGTCAAAAGTGGTTCCTAGTCTCTTTCACAATATTCTTCCATTAGTGGCCAGACCAGGATTAAAGGGGTAAAGGTCAATCGACCAATCAAAGAAAGTATTACTGAGACTTTCATAATGTCTCCTGTGGCTTCGGAGGAGCTTTGCCAACTGAAGTTAGAACAACAAGCTTGTATTACAAACTAGGGTGTGGTAAATCACTTGAAATTCTGCCTAACAAGATAAAACTACACCGTCTTGGCTGGTTGTCTATGTTAAAACATCTTATGCAAACAGAAAAAAACACATCTTGACACAATTCTAGACTCTTGAACTTCTGAACCATATACAGTAAAAACTTAATAATTTGAGATCCAGGCAGATCCAATGAAAAGCTGATGAAATAGCTGGAATTTCTACATCAAACTCTTTTAGCTGCTACATGAACTCACCTCATGGCACGGCTGAGTTTCTCGTACGTCATGCTGCTGTTCTTCTTCTTCTGGCCCCACATCTGAGCCACAGCCTCAGACTTGAGGAACTTAAAGACACCCTCACGCTGGTCCTCCCACTTCATCAGGCCCTGGTTCCTCTCAGGGTGGATCAGAATGTCCCTTATGAATTCCCATAAGTGAGTTCCTCGGGGTGCTGCAGACAAACGGTGGGGCACAATTAGCTAAATGTGTGTTTGTATGTGCATGGATCTATATGAATAAGCAGGCAAATCAAATAGATATGAATGTTGCCTGGTTATGATGCAAAGTAGAATCTGTAAAACAGTTCAGCAGTGTTTATGTACAGAGGCCTACAGAGTGTTTTACATGATGAATGACATTACTGATTCTCCAAACATGGCCTTACCGTGTTTTTTTTTTTTTTGATTGTCATAAATGCTGCTGGTATGCTCTCTGCTGACCTTGGGAGGTCGCCCACGTGGTCGCTTTAGTCGAGACTCTCCTTTTTCTATTTTGATGTGTACCTCTGTCAAGACAACAGTTCATTGTAAGACATTTACTTAATCTCACTGACATGGCTGAGACTGTGGAGAGAACCTTACAAACAGTGATGCTTGCTACTCACTTGAAATAGGAGGGTAGGAGAACTCCGGGTCTGATTCGCCACTGCCAGACTCCAGTGAGTCAAAGCTTGAGGAGTCAAACATGCCACCTGAGCCACCAACATGAGAGACATGTTTCAGATATACAGCATTATTAAGAAACTGAAGAGTTGAGCAATATGATGAGAATGAAATACTGACTGTTGGAGGAGGAGCTGTACTCGCTGTCAGACAGGTACTCAGAGTCTCCCAGAGGTGTCTTGGGTGCCATGGCAAGACTAGTGAAGTTACAATCATCCCTGTACTCAAACTCTCTCTTGTTGACAGCTCCTTCTGCTGTTGGTAGCAAGTTGCAACATTAGCCCACACAATCCACACAACATTGATTTATGCTAATATGTAACATTACTATACAATATGTACCTTCGCCAAATTTAATGGTGCTGAGCAAAGGGAAGTTTAAGTTGTCCAGGAAGTTGTCCAGGAGCTGGCAGGTTTCACTCAGCTCTGGTCCTGACAGCTCTAACATGATGAGATGAAACATGATGGTGTTAGCTGTAACATATAACAGCAAAAGAAAATTCCAGCAAAGCATATGCATGGAACTACATTGCCTGTCTTTTGTCTGAACAGAGGTCAACCATTGACTTACTAAAATATTTGTATTGTAATTGCTGTCCAGCAGTCAAATAACAGATTGAACCACATATATGCATATGTGGTTCAATTTCAGCCAGAAATTCTACAAATCATTCCCCATTACAAATGCAGTTTTACCAAATTTGGTCTTGTGTTCCTCCAGACTCTGGTGGAGGTGTAGGCCAAGCTGGGTGCCAAAGACCACGATGATTTCTTCCAGGTTCATTTGGCAGAGAGCAGGGCCATCCATGGCGCAGTAGGCCAAACTCAGGGTGCTTGCATCAAACTTGGTGCTCTCTACGTGGTCGCTAATCCACTCCAGAACGTTGTCTGCTGTCCAGCAGTAAGGGTTAATATGCCTGTACCACTGAGCTGCAAAGAGAGAGACATGAAATACTTAATAATGGAATGATCTCTCTTTGCACTAGTTGCACTGACCATCATTGAGTATTTCTATCTATATATGGCAGTGAGACAATGAAGTTCAAAATGTTAAAAATTGCTTGTTAAATGTACTGCAACATGTCTCCCCTGCTCAGCTACCAGTGATGTGGACTGATACCAGTCTGCATCATCACCGTCTCTGGATTTGTGTCTCTAAGGTCAGACAAACAAAGTCTTCACTGTTTCAACTATGAGGTGGCAGCATTCTCCTGTTTGACGGTTATGCTGAGTTAAACATTGGCCTGGTAAATGATTGAGCCAACAGTGTCTAAATGAGGTCAAAGCAAAGTTCAGTGAGCGAAAAGTCCCACCGGCTGAAGTTTGAAAATAAAGGATCATGTTTACGTAGAGATTAGTCTTTAGGTGAAACTCAGACTGAACGATAATGGCTAACAAAGGCTTCACAGCCAAGAAAGACACTACACAATTTAAAATCTTTGGTCTCGCACAGATCACACAATTGAATCTTACAGCAATGACAAGACAGAAATTAGGTTCACAGACACGGTTGGTGTCCCTCTTACCAGTGCTGAATGCTGAATTGCTGATCTGCAGGGTGTTGATGCTGGGTAGCACACTGGGCTGCTGCGGCCGGACATCAGGGATACCAGTCTGATACATGGTACGGTTGGCATGAGTCAAGATGCTGCTGAGGCACGGTGATGACATGGAGACACTAAGAAACATAGAAGTTAAGTTTACACGCCAAGATCTGCTTTCAATTCAAAGAGAATGTATATATAATGAACACATTTGTTTGTTGTCGTCTAGTTTTGTAACGATCAAATTCTGTGACATTAGGACCACTGTAACATTTCCAATAAATAGTTAACTAATGTCTTTTACCTGATGACAGCACGAGCCACAGTATGATGCAGAGGAACTTTGCTCTTAAGACAATCCGCAGTTCTTGTATTTGATAATTTCCACTGTTCAAGTATCAGTGCTCTCCTCTGCATGTTCTCTTTGTAACCTTTGTCTCTGAGGCAGATATGCACCTGTTGCTGAATAAACCACCTGTGGAGCTTTATACTCCTGTAAAGGAGTGGGGGATGGATGCAGGTGAGTTCAGGGGAATTCCACCTGCAGCTAGCCACACCTCCAACCCTCCTCCTCCTCCCTGTTCCTGAGAACTTGATCAACAAAACAAACCTGCTCTGCTATTCTCTCAAAGTGTTTCTCTCTCTTTCTCATCATCAGTTGGGGTTCTATTATATTAATAGACTGGGTTAGCTTTTGCTTTGCGTTATTACATACGTTTGAAATGCGTTACAGGATTTTAAAAACGAGTTTTAAAATGACTTGTGTTGAAGGTCACAACTTATATATTTATATACAGCACCTGCTCATCTTTAGGATTATGGAATGTTTCTACACTACATGCTCAGATGAACCCTGAGGGGAGACTAAATAGAAAAACACAGACACAAAACTCAGGGCAACGGTGAACAAGCGGAATGTTGATGATAATTGTATCCTTACAGTGAGAAAGACAGTATACACCCTTTAGCAGGGCTGTTCAGGTATCATGTTGCAGAGAGAGGGCTTCAGGTTTCTGTACTGCAGTAAATCTCTGAAACTTGTGGCTCACTACTGGTCCCTAGTGGTTAGTGCTCAGCTGCCTAACACCTCTACTACACGTTCTACTGCTACCATACATAAACAATGTTCTGATAAGATATGGGTAAAATCAATCAGCTGGTACACTTCCTGACTAAAAGTATGTGGACAATCGAATATTACAGCCACTTAATCTCTGAGATGGCCACAGGATTTTGGAATCTGGCTGCAGGGATTTGCTTCCATTAAGCCACCAAAGCACAAGTCCAACAATAACGTGATGTTGGGTGATATGGTCTGGCTGCACTCTAGTTAATCACAAAGGTGTTGGAATGGGGTTGAGGTCAGGGCTCTCAGATTTTCCTTACAGTGATTGCTTTTACTTTGCTTTTCAACAATTGTAGCATGTTTGAGCCCATAACTACATTACAAGTACACAGATTAGACACAGTAATAAATACACTATAACATTTTCACTTAATTTTCTACTTCTTTTCAACAGTAATTGTTGCCTGATTTAAGTACTGATTTTGATTATTCGTTAATGGTGGATTCAAATTCTGAGACTTTATTGTCGGCTCAGCTATCCAGAGCCAAAAATAGTGACAATGACAATATCTCTACAAAGAATGTCACAAACGTATAAAGAGTCACGGAGTACAGGTATCTTGGTTGAGGTGAGCATTTCAAGGAAAAATATTGGTTTCTTTGATGGTATTAAAGCATATTTTTCTCTGCATTGAAGAAGCCAACGTATCAGTCTGGGATTATGGGTGCATTTTATACATGCATGTTTCAGTTGCGGAGGACTTGTTGTTCTTCTAATGTTTATTATTAGGGCCCGAGCACCAACGAAGACGGAGCAGAGGACCTATTGTTCTTCTGATGTTTTTTATTATGGCCCGAGCAACAACGAAGTCGGAGTGTATTGTTCTTCTAATGTTTTATTATTATTATTATTATTATTGTTATTATAAGTTCTCCTTTTTGAATAGCCCCAACATTTCATTTCAGTCAGCGGCATGAAAATTAGTATGTAACATATGTATCATATGTAACATGATGGGATGTAAAAAAAGATATGCCCTAAACCCGACAGGAAGTATTTTATGACTTTTTTCTACCGTTTCAAGAAGCTGTACTTTAACGAACTCCTAGAGATTTAACCCGATTGACAAATCCGGTCAGTATGATCTTGAGACCTTTGCAGTGAAAAGATATCCAAAAATCAAAAAGGTATGGAACTATGTATCCGTGGCGTGGCGGCAAAAAAACACCATTCACCATAAAACAATAAGTGGTTGTAACTCTGCTGTACATTGTCTAATCTACTCCAAATGTCTCATGTTCCATAATATTCCCAACTTCAATCCCAACATTTAAATGACAATTTTGACTCATAGCGCCACATAGTGGTAACATGAAGTTAAAAGTTGTATACTATTACATCCTCCTCACAAAATAATCAGACCCATCTAAATTTTTGTCAGAAAAGCCTTAAGACGTTAATGCTTCATTGTGAAGATTGTAAGAATTTGCTGAAGGGCGGCGACGTGGCGAATTTCAATCCTTCGCCATGAACGAATAAACTGATGTAACTCGACTCCACATCATCAGATCTTTACCAGATTTCACATGTTTGATGAGACTACAGGCCTGAAGACATCTGCAGGCCAATTTGGAATCAACGGCATAGCGCCACATACTGGTAACAGGAAGTTACAGTCGCTTTACTTTGGCTTGCCACACATGGTAGGTAAATCAGATCCACCTCAAATTTGTTCCACACAAATGTAAGATGTTCATAAAGCCAGCCAACTAAGCTTTTGACCGTTCGTTGAACGGTCCGTGGCTACGCATTCTTCATCATGAAAAACAAAGGTGATTTTGAGGGGTTATTAAATGCTTTATGTTTGATGGGATGGCATAGCTGTGGCATGTTGGCCATTTCACGTCATTCGCCATTAAAAAATAACCTGGTTATACTCCACTGGACTTGCTCAAATCTGTCCCAAACTTGCCATGCTTGATAACAATCATGTCCTGAGGATGTCAACAAGCCAATTTCCACACAAAGTCATAGCGCCATCTACTGGCAACAGGAAGTTAGCGTCGTGTGTCTAACAGCATTCGATTTACATGACATTTGTATGATATGGTCTACACTTGATACAGACCAACACAATGCTGTTTGTGCGAGTGTCTTGCGTCATTTACTGGATACAGGAAGTGGTGGAATATTTGCAATACATTATTTCCGACGCTACATACTTAACATGCACACAGTGTAAGGGCCCAATCATTGCTGCTTGCAGCTTTAATTCATACTTTTTTCCCTGAGTTCTACCTGCATTAAAAAACAAGAGCATATCCGTTTGAACTGATATCCACCTGGATTTTGTCCCCACCCAATATTTACAGCTGCAGTAAAAACAGATTTCACAATTAAGAGTACACAAGCTCCTCTTGCCACAAGTAGTGTAGTGTGGTATACACGCTTACAACGTATAGACAAAAAATCTGGCTTCATTACTAAGGCACTCGTTGCTTCAAGTAAGTTTTTGGATTCGTTTTTTACAATTTGTTGCAATTTACAGCTGTACTACAGAACTTATTGCTGTGTAAGTGTAATTATGTCTAGAGTTGAAGGGGAAAAGGCATGGGGTACAGCTGACAAATGCTTAAGCTGTTAAGTGTTTTGGAAAAACAAAACAAATTTTATTACTGAAATTCTATGAATAAATGAATCAAATAATTGTCAAATTTACAAGTGGATGTAAATCGTATCTTTTTGACACCGATTTTTTTCAAAAGCAGCAGCAGCGTATGGAACAGTATCCCTAATTACAGTGAATGTGCTGCTTTTTGTGTTTTATAATAAGATGACATAGAGATGACACAGTTGGCACTATTGTTGCATTGGCCTGAGTTTGTATGGCTCGTACACCGGATGTCAGGAGAAAGATGAAACAGCAGGTGTGGGCAGACGGTGAACACATTTTTCATATAATCTCATTCAGTATTGCCTTTTGGAATTTGTTTCAACCAGTAGTGACCGGCAAACCTTCAAATGTTTTCCCAGAAATTTCACAACATCACTCACGCCCTGTTTTTACAGCATGTGAGAGGAAAAGCTTAGCGTGGAATGCAGCCCCTCAGGTTTTTGCTTTCTGACGAGGCACCAGCTTTCAATGGCCTGGGGACTAACAGGCAACATATTTCATCACTTGCTGTCTTTTCCACTGCCTTTCCTTACTATTCTACACCTGGCCTGTTGCTGAATGGAGCGGCTTTCCACAGATACTGTTTGGGTGCCTTTAAAAATACTAGGTGTGAGGCTATGTAGAGTTGTCTATAAACCATTATGATGTTTTGGTGGTGAGAAAACTAGAAATTAAATTCAGATATTAAAACCTAACCACGTCTTTGGTTGTTAAATTCTAAGCATTATCTATAGCCTACAGCACAAAACAAAGGGGAGAAAACACACAACAAAGCAAAAAAGCAACAACAATCAAGAAGAGAAATGTCAAGGAAAAGTATTTAAAAGAATAACCCTCATGAAACTCTTATATATGGCCATAAGTGGGTACGGAAAGTATTCAGACCCCTTTAACTTTTTCACTCTTTGTGTCATTGCAGCCATTTGCTAAAATCAAAAAAGTTCATTTTATTTCTCATTAATGTACACTCAGCACCCCATCTTGACAGAAAAAAACAGAAATGTAGAAATTT